TTCAGCTAAATACAGACAAAAATCTAGTATCGTCGTCTCTTATGACTGGTGAGACAGGTGGTAATAGGTACAAGATAATGTAAAAGGAAGCTAATTAAGCGTAACAGTAGTACAGTATATTCTGTTGACTGAAGCCTGATAGAACAGCTATATAATTAGTTCTGATCTGACAAAATCTAGATTGATGTACACTAGTAGAACACAAAGTTAATATTGTCAAGATAGAGAAGATTAGGTTAGGTTTAATAAAGTGTCAATAAATTTAACCTATGTTTTATCTCTATACTGTTGTTTTGTTGCTGAAGCTGCATGATGTGTAGGTTCTAACTTCTAACATGATGTAAATAAACATAGTTGATGAAGGATACATTGTATAACCATTAAAAAAATTGCAGCTGAAGTAGATTTTAATAAAACCTGAATGAACTCGCCTTTACGTAACTCCCTTCGTCTGTTTTACCTTCAGACAGAACTACACCTAGCAATACTTAACAAAACTCAACGCAACATTTTATTAACTACATTGTGTTGACAAGCGAGGCTAGTATACTTAATTAGGTTTTAACAAAATCTACATGAACTTAAACAAAACCCGACTCTATCGTTCGCCTCCATTACCGAGGAGCTATATAAGGTTTAACAAAGAAGAACGTAAGCGTACTTCATTGGCGCGGTAGAATGGCTTGTGAGTTATATTAGACCGGTTGTGTTTGAGTGTCCTGGGGAATAAAATAATTCAAGCCTGGGGCGCTGGGTGTGCATTCCTGGGTCCCGATTCACAAAGGTTCGCACGATGTGTATTTCTTGAAACCGGAGATGTTATATGCACTCAACTAAAAGACTTAAATTAAAGCAAAAAAAAAAAGTTTGAAAATACCATCAACATTAAATACTATCATACCTTAACTACATATATTCACCTAGCATCAGTTAGGAAAAATAATTAAGGCAACTTTGAAAAGGCTTATCGACGTTAATTTGGTCTAACTAAAGTGAATGTAAGTTAAGATAAAGATTCTTTGTGATTTTAATGTTTTTTTCATTTATTTTTTGTTTGTGTTATAAGGTAATTAAATCACTCGGCTTCTGCTGTATAATTTTATTTAAGAGGATTATTTTAACGTACGAGCCTTTGAGAATCTGGTTCCAGAATTGTGACCCTGATAGCCTGGATCATCACAACCAACACCCACCATCACACCTGTCCCTGGTTAGCCTCGTGTATGTGTGTGTGTGTGTGCGTAAATTTTCGTATGAGTGTATGAATACCCCCCCACACACACACAGTTCATTCACCTAGTAACTGTACAACTAACATCAATCTTGTAAAATATCCCATGAAAGAAAAAATAGATGCCACGTATGCTTTGGGACAAAACCGAGCACCTGATATAGATCTTATCTCACTTATCAAAATAATCGCTTAACGACGAATTAATGAACTCATCTCAGTACTTCTCTTTACTAAATTTCAAGACAATCGATCCATTCCTTGAAGACCTAACTCTTTCACTTGTAGGATACGACAAGGAGACTCATGGTTATCTGGTAGGGAGAGTAACACTGGAGAATACTTTGGAGGGGACTACGTAAACAGTGTAGACATCCCATACAATTAAATAATCACTTGCTTCAACGCCACAAAGTATCTACCTGTGTACTGTAGCTCCCAGCAATGCCCCCCTCCAGCAGCTAACTCGAAACAACACTACCGACAATTAATTTTTCGTCCTCCAACTTGGCAAAACGAAAACTGAACTTTTTCTTTTCTAAATCGTTTGTATTCATTGTAAATTATGTTCGATGAAATAAAAACAATAAATAGTTGAAACATAACATATGAATTGAATCAAGATGGAGTGAATAAATGTTTCCTACTATATTATTTTGCTTGTACTTCTCATACCAGAGGGTCGCGACATAGAAACACCGCTCTACACTAGTTACGGAGAGTCAGTGTGAGTTAACCATCTTGTCCACAGCCTTTGTATCATATTTGAAAAAGGGGAGTTACATGCATTCTTATATATTTAGTTAGAGTAAGGTCTTTATTCGAGCCCCGAGTCCGGGTTCTCGAAGATTTTTCTTCATTGTAAGTGAAAGAATTCACTTTGAAACGATAGTATAAATGAAACAGCGACGCATTCACTTGTCTTTCTACAGGGGGAAATGTTTAATCCCCCCCCCCCTGCACATACTCCACGAGCAACCCTCAGGGGTGAAAATACAACCATCTAGAATTGAATTAAACTCGACCTACAAAAAATTGTCTGGGAGTGGTCAGCAGCGCCTGGGGGACGAAGGCAAGCGTGCCTGCAAGCAGTCCTCCATTTACCACCGTGTTGAGTACTTGCAAGACGATCTTACAAGGCCACGCAACTTATTCTAGTGTAAATAATCACCGTACTCAGTCTGTAGGAATTATGGCATAAAAGGTTGTGAAATTAGGTCACTGGAAATTAATAATTTCAATACTTGTTAGTGTACAACCTTCATTGCTCAGTATAACATCCTTCTCACACCTGACCTGAGTCTTTACCCCATCATTGCTTAGGTGGCCGGACAAGAGCAAACTCACACACACACTTTTCCATTATTCCGTTTAACTTAATCACTCTTACTGCTGGAAGAAATGTTTCACTAAGGTGCTCTCATAACAAGGCATCAAGTTTGGATTACTTGTCACTTCAAACAAGCTCCCACCACTCACCAGCAAACACCTCCTTAAAAAAAACCACTTGAATCCATCATGCTCTCCATTCATTCCCTGGATAACCATCTTCACCTTTTCCTCCCATTTCTTCTTGTTCTCTCCCCCCTTTCATTATACCCCTCAGACTTATACACTCTTTTTACCTATATCTATATCTTTCCATTTACTCAGTATGTCCATCAGTGACTCTCCCTGTGGCAGGTCACTGAAAGTGGGACAAATGAGAGAATAGTACTGAAGAATATTAGATGTAGGAGTCCCACTGTTAAACAGTTCGAAGAAGGACAAGTCCAGAACATCCTCCACCTCAGACTTGCCAAGTCAGGACATTTTCCTGGAGTCCACAACAGTACTTACAAAGATTTATCGGGCACGAAAGAATTGTTTACATTGTACATACAGGTATTTAATAAAAACAAACTTATTTCCATAATGTACAATGAAAGACAAAAGTCGTGTCGCTAAGTTTGGTGAAAACATATGCCGAAGGGCTAAACTTTTGGTGTGCTCTGCCTTGTGGTAGGAGGCTCTCATAATGTTTCACGAGTTATATTTAATCTTCGGACAAAACCGCGACACGACTTTTGTCTTTGATTGTACATATTATTATAATCTATTCATAAATATATAAAGATACATTTCAGCATAAAATCTCAAACCAATTTACTGAAATAAAGATACAGGAATATTTTAGTGTAAATATCAAGCCTAGCTTGGAAAAATAATCAGTTCACCTACTTAGTCCATGCACGTGACCAACCTGACACGAAATTTTTTTTTTTATAAATACTGTATATTACAAGACTTGTTCAATAAAGAGTCATAGTGTTTGCTTTATTCTTTAAAGCATTATGCATATAAAATAGCACCACCCACGTCCAAGTTTTTTAATAAAAATTTCCGACATTTGCTCATTTTTAGAATATGTTCATGCATATGATTCATTAAGGTAATTCACACAAAGAAATGACATGGTAATTTACTGCCAATAAAGACCAGCTTTGAGCATTATGCACTGCCAGTTTAGTTAGACATGACACGGCTGGAGAGTACTGTGTAGTATTGTCCATAAACATCTATAATGCAGTAACTACACCGCGCTGTAAAACGATCTTCACGCTCTTCCGAGTCGTCTCAGACGTCCTCAGGAAAAGTTAAGTTCCTGCCTTTATATCTCTTCCACAATAACTACAACCAATGTATATTTTATTTACCTACTGTACTGTACATACGAAATCTCATCTTAATAGACAGCAACAGATTTAATACAGAAACTCATGTGAGAGACGCAACAAAGGTTTACATTGATATAATATACAGTTTAAGTTAAACTAATAGACCGTTGGCACGCGGTGCTTTGTCACTGTTAATACAATTACGGTGCGACTAGTCAGTGGATGTAGGCGTGAGCTGTGGATGAGGAGAAGTATATGTAAATATTCTTACTTGGTACCTCGTAACGATCTCAGGTAGTGAAGTGCTTCCCCGCCTGGAGAACTGTCACCCCGGGTCCCTGAGATATGCTTCGGACTGTCAGTTGATTGAAAATGTCCAAAGGAGGGCCACCAGGCTGGTGCCTGCACTTAGGTACCTCAGCTTCCTAGAGAGATTAGAGGGCCTGCAATTGCCTTGCTTTTGCTACACACGGGAGCCTTATTGAGGTGTATAAGTGTCTCAACGGGCACTACTCAGTCGAGTGTTCTTACCTGGAGCTGGCGGATGTTCACCCAACAAGGGGTCACAGCTCAAGGTTGAAGAAGCAGCAAGTCCAGAAAACTGCGATGGCAAATGTTTTCGGAGTGAGAGTTGTGAACTCTTGGAACAATCTGCCATAGAGTGTTGTGACGGCACCGAGTGTGAGCTCTTTCAAGACCAGACTTGACCAACACTGAAGCAGGTTCATATACTGTACATCCAGGAGCCGGTGCATGCCCAGTACTTGCCAACAGAGCGTAACAGGGACGTGACCGATCGCCCAAGCGGCTAACGAGTCGATCAGTGGTGAAGAGGATAAAAGAAAAAAAAAGACTACACTTGTCCTACACAAGTTTCCACTATTATTATGTATATCCATTGCTTGAGCTCTTGGGCCCCTTCATCAACCCTACAAAAAGTAGAGAGCACCAAGTACAGTAAATAGACATGAAACAGACGAGAAATAATAAATACAAAATGGTATTAACAGCAGATAACATAATATAATAGTTAGGGGTAAGTGTGTGCTTGTTTTCTGTGTGGGGCTAAACACGAGTTAGTTGGTTGTGCTGGGAAAGTAACCGCCTTGTGAGACGAAGGTTCATTGTTGTCATTTACTTTAATTTCTTTATTTTCTCGAAAGTTTACCAAAATAGGTATCAAAATGTCGGCTCGGCGCGCCACCCACGCTGGCAGTTGGTACACTGACTCTGGTAAGTTGATAGAGGTAATATGGAGGTGTGTGAGGGGGAGAGTGAGGTAAGGGGAGGAGTGAGGTAACACCCTGGACCTTTACTCCCCCGAAAAAGAGGTCAAGTTGACCACTTATTGTTAGGGTCACAGGGCCATTTGTCAGCCACGCTAACCTCATATTATGTTATATCCAGCCTTAATACCTATGGCAGCGAGTTTTTGACAATTCTCTCCGTACCATCTGGACCTACATACCACTGACACACTTCACTACCTCCTCAAAATTGTATTTTCTTTGTCTTGTACAACTTTTTGGATGACTCTCAGAGGCTCAGAAAAACTCACTACCAAACCCCTGAACCTTGAACTCCACGTGAAGTTAATGTAATCATAATTGTAATATACAGTATTCTCTAATACTTCATGATATTTTTATTATCTGTGACAGTTATTATTTACACACAAAGGAAACGTTTACACATTTACCAGGTGTGGAAGATATTGGCCTAATAATTCCTACACTAAGAATTAAAACACCCAAGTCTTCCATAAACGAGTGAAGTTTTATAAAATTTTCTGATGTGGATAACCATAAGTAATAATAGATGTATATACCATAAAGAATAAGTCAGGTTTAATTACTTAGAAAGAAGGTTTTTTTCCTTTTATGGAGTCCAGTGTTTAATATTAGTGGTTGGTTATACTTGACCACACAGTCTTGTAGGTTATTGTAGGTAGAAATATAGTTCATAACAAAGTAACAAAGAACCGTCCAACTAATTGAATGGGTAGTAAGCTGATAAATGGTGACATAAATTGAAATAAAATTAAATATGGCTGCAGGCAGATAGTAATGAATTTTCACCTAGTTTAATTTCTCCTTAAATCTTTGCATACCTTACCCATCTAATCACAGGCATAGACAAAATGGGAGTAAACTAAAAATGTATTATGGATTTTCTTCATCTTTCATTAACCTGGTTCATATATAGATGTTAAGTGACACTGACCTGTTATTGTTTGTTTATATGTAAGGCATCCTCTCCCATACTTCTCATTGGCTACATATCTTCTTCTAACAGTCACCCAAATACAGTACAAGATGGGTTTTCATGATTCTGTATATACATCAAGGTGTGCAGTGCTAATGAGACTTTCTTTCGGATTTTTTTTTATTGTTTTCGTTGGTGGGATGGTTAGGGCTGAACATTTCTTAGTAAGATTCTCTAAAATACAAGAATTACACAACTTTTCTGAACTAATTAATTTTCTTGGGATCTTCCATACTGGACTCCATTCTATTACATTACTTACCTTTACTTTCCTCTATTCTATTCACCAATGGTCAGCTTGCCAGCCGGTCGGGTGGTCAGTAATTTCTCTGTTACCCGTTGTTTGCAAGTATTGGGCATGTATGGACTCTTGAATGTTCCTGAAGATGTGTCTGTGCTGGTCAAGTCTAGTCTTAAATGAACTCACACTTGGTGCTGTCACAATAATATTTAACGTGTGGTGGAATGATGTGGCTGACATATTCATTCATCATTGAGAATAAAATCAAACACTTCGGGGATGATATGTAATTAATAAGCAGAGTAAATTACAGTTCTGCTGGAAGGAAGAACACTGGATTTGTGTATTTTCCATATATGACTGTACAGAATTAATGCCCATAGGAAGGGTTCTTTTGTATTGACAATAACTTATTAGGATTTATGCTTTTGTATAACATCAAATGCACTAAAACTTTGGCACAGGAGAAGCAATGAGCCTTTTTGTTGGATATACTGTACACCTAAACCATTGATCAAACCAGATGGGTAAAAGGAGCCAGGGGGCACTAATTTTATCAGTTTCTCAGGGTTTACAAAATGTGTTGGCGACTGGTGATATTGCCCTCTACTCTCTCATTGTTGCTGTCTTCATGGGCCCTGTAACTGGTATGTGCTCTGCATAAGGATGCTATCAGTTTACTGCACATAAGAATAAGCATTTTGATTTCTCAGTGTCTAAATGTCTGAAACTACCTTTCTAGCACTCTAGATTTCAAAAGTTTCTAGGGGAGAGGCATGCCTGATCCCTTCAATGCCAGCACTAACAAAATGTTGGTGCCTCTTACTTCTACAATAGAACTTCCTTCATTACTTATTGAAAGTTCTAATTTCTACCTGCCATTTTAGAAGATTATGCACCAAAATAAATTAAGATTTAAGCTGTATTGATATTTTTAATGGATTCTAACTAGCAAAACCTTATATAACCTGTGTTGGCTAGTTCATTACTACCATACAAATATTGGTTTAAAGTTTTTCGTTTTTGTACATCAATCCACAGTTTCCCTTTCTCAAAGCTTGACCTCTCATAAATGTTACTGTACATGGAATTGTCATATATTTACTAAATTACAAATGCAGTAAAAGGACACTACAGAGTTGAAGTACTGTATAGCAAAGGAATTTACTAAGTATCCAGCTGATTCCCCTAAACTGCAACTTTACTCTTTTTCAAAATATTAAATGATAGTTTTAGAATTAAATAAAGAGCTGTAATATTTATGATATATACAGACACTACACACATATAGTACAGTATATAAGTTTACTGAAATTAAAAATACTGTACAGTACAGTACTGTACTAGTACTTACAGTATATGACTCCTGTATTCTCAGGATTTGGACTCATTTTACCTCACAATGCACAAGAAATTCATTTGTCATTTTGTGCACACCACTGTGAGGCATAGATAGTATTGAGGTCAGTGTGTACTTTTGTGAGTATGGTTATGATAGGTGGAGACTGTTAACTTGTGCCTTTGGATAATCTAGGAGGCTCCGGGATGGGCACTTGATATCTACATAACTATTTACAGTATACTACTTGTTATAAACTGTAACTTGACATAATTGATGCTGTTAGAGTATCAAAGAACCTCGGTTTCTAAGTGTTGTCTGTTCCTAAATGAGTCCTCTAAACAAATTACATTAATCAAATTTTGTTCAAATTTGTGCTTACTACTGTTCACATTAGTGGCTATATGATGCAAAACTAGTGAGTAAAGTACAGTATTTGATAAAACAATCTCTGCTGATCACAGTTATCATATTCTTATGCCATTGGATATACTTTGTTCATATTTTGTGAATATTTTTAAAGATACAGTACTATATCAAGTGTGTGAGAGTATATCTACTTGTGTTTGCTCCCTCCTGTTGCTTCCTACTCTGCTCTCCCCTATCATTTCTGTCCGTCTTTGAGGCACCTGTTCCAACCCACATAAAAGTGGAAGAGGAATACAGGTAATACATTAAAAAATTAAACAACATCCCAGTCTTACTTATTGTGTCAACCATTTCACCTTCATCACTGGGTATGACATTATGTATCTCAGATGTTGAGTTGTCTTGGATGATGAACCCTCACAAGGTATTGCATCTTCTCTGTCTTGTGTATTTAGCTAAATTATACACACTGACTCCACTCTCCTAGATTTGGCATCCATGTTTTTCATTGCAGTGAGAAATTTTTATATTCTCTACACAGTACTTTTGTATTTTTTCCTTCTATGTGACTCCCCAAAAAACGAAAAAAGAAAATCTACAGATATTATTTCTACAGATGACAATTATCTATAATAAATATAATGTATTTACTGTAGTACATACAGTAATTTACTAATGTTTTATTCTTTTGTTGACAGCCACAGATCTGGCACGCCAGCTGGAAGGATGGTTAGGGCAGGCAGATCTCTCACATGGACCTGCGCGTGCCATAATTGCCCCGTAAGTCTTCTGTACAGTTTATTGAAAATGCTGGTACTGTACTTGGAAAAGTTTCTTTTCTTGTTACATGTGCTTGACTTCATGATGCATTAAATTCTTAATTGATAAACATTTAGTTCAATCCCTTAGACTGTTTTTTCCTTGGTTGCATAAATGGTATTACAGTATAGATGTACAGTAGACTTGTTCATACATTTCATTACATCACGATGTAACTCAGATTCCACGAATTTATATGTTGATTGAATCTTTTTTGTAATGTTAAAACATTTCCAAAAGCGATGGATTATATATGAGTTAAATGTTTGTTGGAAATATTGATACACCATTGTATGTTTCATACACTTGAGACATGCGGGGTACCAGTACAGTGGAGCTGTTGGTGCCTATGCCTACCGACAAGTGTCTCCAGTTGTCGTGTGAGTATTCGTCTACGGAACTTACCTACTGCATATATTATAACAATTGATCCTTCAGTGGCAAATAATATATTACTGTACACTGTATTTACTGTAGTATTAATACCCATAGGTGAAGCACAGTTATTCAACGTCTAAATCTCACAGGAAACGTGTCTTCATACTGGGTCCGTCGCATCATGTCAGGTTATCCGGGTGTGCTCTGTCTTCTCTCACCAAGTACCGGACGCCCCTCTATGACCTCATAGTCGACCAACAAGGTAAGGAGCTGGTTTTTGCTTATGGTTTTTTTTAACGAGTACGTACTGTATTTATGCTTTCTTCAGGACCCTGTAGTGTATTTTAATGGGAAATCTATTTTTGGACTGTTAGGTATATAGCATATTTATGGTGTGAATTGACTGATGATTTGTTTTACAGTATACAATGAGCTGTATCAGACAGGGCACTTTGAGACGATGAGTGTGTCTGCTGATGAGGACGAACACAGCATAGAGATGCACCTGCCCTATGTTGCAAAAGTTATGGAAGAGTGAGTTCATTATTTACCTACTTATAAACTAGGTTTGGTGAGGTGTGTCCTGGGTGATGGCTCAGCAACTACACAACCAAATCTCACATCACATTTCATTATTACTTTCTTGTTTTCTCTTTTATAAGATTTGGTTATATTTATCTTGTCTCAAATAGTAATAAGGTTTGTTTTTTACTGAATTATTATTAAAATTTGGTAATGTTTTCCTTGTTATGATATTATTCATAGGACAATGGGGAATAGTTTCTTTGTACACTTCATGGAAGAGTTTTTAGTATCCTGTAGTGTTATACAGTACAGTATTTTCATTTATAAATCATATGTTTTTTATTTGTTTTTTCATCTACAGCTTTCATTGTACACGTGCATGTTTTATGTGCACGGTCAAGGTTGTTACGTTCTGTAATATTGTGTTTATATCAGAAAAGACTACTATCTCCAGCCTTCTCACTAATTACTCATGTTATATAATGCAATAGACTCCCGAATACTCTGCAGGGTCACTTTCCTGGGCGACTCGTGGATATACTACTCCACCAATAATTGATCAGTGAAACTTATTGGGGGAAGTAGATGTGTTCCGTGCTGGCCAGTTAAGGGGAAATATTTATTATTAAAACTAAAATACATATTTATGCATTAATAAACTACTGTATATGGTAATAATAATACAATGTATACTATATAATGTGAAAATGGGTCTCATGAACAGATGGTCTTATAGAGGCAGTACACTTACAGCACACGGGATACTAAGACTTCAGTACACAGGAGGCAACATAGCCAGTCGTGCACTGTAATGCCCCAGACATGACTCAGGCTGTGAATTGAGTATATTTGAGAAGTACAATTTTGGTAAGAGTAAAAATGACAGTGGTTTATATTGTACTGTATATTATTTTCATTCTTCCAAGCCTTTTTCCTCTGTAATGCAGGACGGCTGGAATCAAGACTTAAACACACAGTCCTCCCCCCCCCTCCCCCCTGTCATTTGTTGTAACTTATGTGATCTGCTGTGGTCATCCTCCTCCTTATCATAGCACCCAAATTTATTGAGGTTTATCTCCCTCCCTTGACACAGCCTGGCATCACCCATAAGCATCTATATACAGTATACATATTTGACATATTGATGAGAGAATGCACAGACATCTAGGTTAGATTATTAGTAAGAAATTTACATGTTTTACCCAGTCCTCTATTTCATTGTAGTGTAAGTAGTGATTATTATTTTTAATTTTTTTTTTTGGTTCAGTTTCCGGGATCACTTCACCATTGTCCCGATCTTAGTGGGGTCCCTTACGCCCGAACGAGAGATAATGTACGGACGTCTCCTTGCACCGTATTTGGCCGACCCTCAAGTGAGTATTTCACCATCACGTACATGATTCAGTCTACTCTATGTCACAGCATATCTATAAAATATCCTGATCTGGGCATGAACATAATACAGTTACCTACATCAAGAAACACATGATTCACACCTCAGTGCAGATGTAAAAGCCTGGCAGCCAGACAAGTGGTGGCTAGCAGTTACCAGTTTAAAGTGCATTTGTTAACAACAGTGTGAATTTTCTTGTACAGATAATATTGGTCTTTCTATAAATTTTTGCTAAACACTTTGTCTTTGTCTCTTCCTAGAGCTTGTTTGTGATATCCTCGGATTTCTGCCACTGGGGCCAGCGCTTCCGGTACACATATTATGATCGATCTGTGGGTGAGATTTGGCAGTCTATACAAAAACTTGATAAGCAAGGGATGAACCTGATTGAGACGTTAAACCCGAGTGCCTTTACTGAGTACCTGAAAAAGTACGGCAACACAATCTGTGGCCGACACCCCATTGGCGTCTTGCTCAACGTAAGTATTATTTAAAGTGTTACACAGTACTCTTGCTATTTTAGATGATAGTTAGGGGGGTGGGAGGTGTACAGGACTTAGATTGGGAAGTAACTAATAGTTTTCTTGATATACGTATTGATTATATAAGAGAAAAGTGCTCATACAGGAGTTGCAGTGTTCATTTTGAAATTCATCAGACTACCTCCATAAAGATATTTTTTTTTAGTGTATGTAAATGGAGTTGTGGATTTCTTCAAAGATTGAAATTATCCGACTCAATTTACCTTTCCTCCTATTTCATATAAGAATTTACCCTTAACAATTAAGAGCTTGGATATTCTTTCCTTCTCCCTACGGTGTGTGTGTGTGTGTCTCAGTCAGCTGGTACTGAATTTCAAAATGGTGGATTGTAAGTTTCTTTAAATTATTCTCTTATATATTTTTATTGATACTGTATTGTCAAAAAAATATTCGGTATTATTCTTTGCAGGCGGTTGCAACTCTACAGAAGACAAGCAACGGGCATCGTATGTTGCTCAAATTCCTGCAGTACGCCCAGTCATCACGTTGCTACACTTCCTCCGACTCTTCTGTGTCCTATGCCGCGGCTTCTCTTATATTTGAGTAAACCTTAGGTGCCCACAATGAGGTGCATTGAGGAGTAGGGGGAATGGGTTATTATGAAAATCACAAAGCTAGAAGATTTTAAATTTATTCCAAGTATTTATTCAGTTTCCAGGAAATTTAGATAGATGGTAACATCTGCAACTTGTTTTATAGGATTTATATGGTACAGAAACGTCCCTCTGTAGACTCTATCATTGTTGCCAAACCCTCATGCTCCCAAAATGCGCCCCCACCCAGGGCTGGGGGGCTGGTTGCCTGGTTGGCAGTACTTGTGTATCTGTCCCCGAGTGTGAGTGATACATCTATCCACTCGGACGTAGTGAACATTAGCCCGGTGACCAATCTTAAGGTATTATGCATTTCTGCCGGCTTCCTTTATGCCTGTGGACACCGCATCATATGCTTACGATTGATGATTGGGTCACTTTTTTGTTTTGGTGATTTGACACTCAGGGCCATTTTATAACACGTGCTTATAATGATGTAATGATGTATGTGTAGGTTATTATTTGGCTTCAGATAATAACCACTTTTTCTTTTGAATATCCAGTCAAATAGCCCCCCACCAATGTCTCCTGTGATGCTTTGGAATAAGAGGATGGTTTTTTTTTGGATTTTGTGGTCTTGTAAATGTTTCAGCATAGCACCTCCTAATATCCATTAGTCCTTACTCCTGGATGGGTTGGAGGTTGCTTGGTAAACTTTGGTAATGACCAATTTTTGTGATAGGTGAGAGTTTTAAGAGGGTGTTCCCTTTTGTTGTGAGGATCTTGAGTCTTGAATGTTAATATATATATATATTTTTTTTTTTTTTTTTTTTACAAATCCAAACTGTTGCTGCATTGATAAGTTTAGTTTACATATTATCTTAATTATATTTAGTTCTTCAAAGGTTTATATGCAATTTTAATTTTACATAGATGAGAAAGAATTTTTATATACTGTATAAGGCTAGGATGAGTGATTTGTTTTCTACACTTGTCAGGAGTTGTGTAGTATCATCTTGAGCCCATTTCCAGAACATTACCCTTACAGTCTGCCTCTTTTGTGCTAATAATTTATTGGTCCGTTACAATAGTTTTCCAGTCAGCAGTTTGTATTATAAGACTCACTTTGCTACAGACCCTATTTGAGAATAGGGTTTCAGGATGAATTCTTCATTTATTCAGGGTAACAAATCTTCATATGAATGTGAAAAATTTTCATATTTTGATCTTATACATATTCAAGAGAAATAAGTACAGAACAGAATACCTTATAAAATATTAAAGATTGGAATTCATTTAACCAGATTGATTATGGATAGAAGCATTTTTATCCAGTTGAATAAATTAAAATCGTATTGGAATATAGATCGAGTCAGCCTGATTGAGTCACTCGTATAATACTTCCAGTTAACTACTCGAACAATTACTCAGAGTTTTCATCCTTATAAACAGATTAAGACATTTTTAACATATTTATTTAGTTAAGGAAATTTAAGTTTGAAAAGAATTGAAAAAAGGAAGATTTGGAAGTGCTTATTTATTGTTTTGTTTTTGTATTGTTACAGAAAATTTGTCAAGTGTTAAAAGTGATGCATAATTTAGTCTTGTTAACTATAGTATGTGAATTTTTTCTCTCTTTCTCTTTCTTTGTATTTTTATTGTTAAGTGAGGATATTTACCACAATTATTTATGTTAAATTATATGGGAAAAAAGAAGAAAAAACCTGATGTACAGTAATTGTTGTTCATGTTTAATCAGGGAATTTAAACAACAGCCTTTAGCCATTCAAAAAGGTTAACATAAAGTCATTCATACGTGAACCCCACAATGCTTTAGCAGCTAATTATGAAGTTCTAACCTTATTTTCTCTCCCCATTCTTATTTCTCTGTTAGAGTAAGTGGCATCTACTTCACATACAGTATAACGGTAACCCAACCAGCTCGTGGAATTCCCCAGTAGATGGTTTTGAACATCGCTGTGGGTATGTGAATAGTGAAAGGCATTGAAGATATTAATACATTCCAGTAGAACCTACATGTTTGGAGATGGCTTTGCATGTACTCTGCTGGGAATGTGAGAAAATGTGTTTTAGGTCCAGATTGAAAGAAACACCGACTTTTGTAACCGATTGGTATTATAAAGTTTGCAGTATGAGATGGAATTTGCATGAATTGTTTTATGCTACCTATATTTCCACTACAGTACAGTACAGCCATACAGTAACTGCAGTTTATACTTCTGATATATTCCTTTTAGGCTGAGAAGAGGTTGTGTGCCTTACAGGTCCTCAACACGATTGAAACTCAGTATTAGGAAACATGAGGCAGTTTATAAATTAATCTCATTAGGTTTTACTATAAGCATACATTATTTGCATGTAACTTAATTCTGTTCCATAAAAGTCTCAATTGATTCTCATAATTATTATTTTTTTTAATTGAAACGCTTTATGATATGTATTTTTGTTGTTGCAAGGAGGTTTTCTTTGCCGTCATTGCTTGCTTTTGAAGAAAATTTATTTCTTATTTGTGATATGGATCAAGTTTTTCTAATCTCATCCTGTTTGTGAGTAATAAAACAGGCAAGTCTTTATTTAACAATTTCCAGGCCATTTTGGTCAGTTTTGGTTTCATGTATTACTAAGTGAAACTCTCTTGATGGGATTTATCCTGTGATAGGAACGAAGTTATTGTCAAAGTAATTTATTAAGGCTAGGTATACAAGTCTGATAGTAAGGTACAGTACCTACTTGCATCTATATGAAATCATCTTTCTTACCACCAGTCTGAAACTTGATGTAGTCCTCATTCTTTTGCTAGTGTCCCATTGTTCTTACTAGCTTCAGTCCCACGTAATCTGATGTCTATAATTTATAAGGAAAATGTGATACAAATTTTTATCTAAATCTTTTTGTATGTGAAAAAAAAATCCAGCATGATATTTGTACTGTTAAGTTACTTAGAATATCTCAATTAATATAATTCTTTTACCACAATATTATTTTATCTATAATCCTACTGTCAAAACATCTATGATCATACCATTAGAGCATCTATAGTATCACCATTTAAACATCTGTAATCAAAATAATTATAATCCTGTCATCAGAACCATCTCCTCTACGTAACATTATTATTACTGTTTTCACTCTTCCATCCTTCCCTGATCTGGCACAGGTCATTCAAGCAACGATGAACATAAAGTCTCCCTTCATTCACTCGTACATTCTTCTCTGCTTCTCAATATCACATCCAATTTATTAACAACCGTCTTTTCTACCTTTTTATCATTATTATGTGTTTTTAATATTTTTTGTGTGTGTGTGTCAGCTGGGGTGAGTAAATCTTTGGAACTTTCTCATTTTACTTGCTGCATCGACAGACTAAGCACAGCTGATGAAGCAAGTAAGGGTTTTATAATGAATTAATATTGCTTCATCTTAAAACACATTCAAGCTTGATTGATTGATTGATAAGCTTTCTAAACAGGAGTGGAAAAGTGATAGTATTTCTTGCTTATAGAACTTTTTAAGCTGACATTAAGTTTGTTCTGTGTATATCAATATTGCCAAGATTCTTGTTTAATGGCCTGTCATAAAACCAAAAGAACAAAGGATCACAGCTGTAATAAATTATTGTCAGTGTTGGTCAAGAGTAGTATTGTATATCACATGGGCTGGTTATGTGTTTTATCCAGTACATAGGTTTACAGGTGTTCTTAACTCTAATGTCAGGAACTTTGAGACTTTATCTGTCTGTCTGGAATCAGTCATTGCTACAGTGGGCAGGATAGTGCTGTTACACAATCACTATATTTCTAAACTTTACTCATTTTTACTGCTTTTTATGCAGGATAGTAAATTACTTAAGTTGCCAGAGATGTAAATATTCTGAAAAAATGTAATGCAAATGGAAAAACGAAAAGGAATAGTGTTTAACAAAATGTATTGTCAAAATGATTCAGAAATTGTAACCTTAATCTTAGTGGACGCATAGAAAACTGAATTACATGCTGTTGTGTATTCAAGTGCATTACAGTAACTCGTAACTTCAGTATACAAAACAAAAATGCACCCAATAAGTGACATGAGGTACGATAAACCCAAACTCTACCATACTACACTCTTTTCTTTGTCTCTTCAGTATAAAAGAAACATAATATATTAAATCCACATATATAAGTCACAGATGGTACACCAGGTATGAGAAACAAATGTAACTCTCTTCACCTTTTGCAGCTGTGGTGGAGTAAATGTTCAACTCAAAGTTACTTCTCTGTCTTGACAATCAAATCAAAGTCTTCAACATATCACTGTAGTTAAGGTCAGTTAAATCCTTGAGTATGTGTAGTCATTGAATACAAGAGTTAAACTTAGGAGTTTGAAGACCTAACTCCTTGAGTATGAGGTCCTCTGTCTTTATATTATGGGAATTAAGTGTGGAAATGGCTCTCTCTCAGATTCTTTGTTTTGTATATTAATAATATTTTGAAAAGGTTTGAAGGATGGACAGATACTGGTACAGTAGTGAACATTAAACCTGTTGCCTCTTCTGCTGCCCCATGAACCCCCCAAAATTCAGAATCGTGAACCCGAAGCAGTCAACACTGATGCATTATTCTGTCCATAAATGCTTCGGATTCACGAGTCTGAATCTTGGAGTTTGTAGTGCAGTAGAAGAGGCGACTGGACTGTTTGTCTGCGGCTGTACAATAAGTAATTTTTTAAGGTGTAATTTTCTTGGCCATCTGATAAGAGGAGAGATGTGAATTAATATGAGGATGAATAAGGCATGAATGGATGAACAAGGAATGAACGGACAATAAGCCAGGAACAAATGGATTATAAGCAAAGCCAAAGTGAAATAACGAACAGTTAATGAACACAACACAAATCAATAGTGAGAGAGTTACATGGTGCATTGAGTATGGTAAACGAGTCTAGAATTGAATTTAGGATGTGAATCATTACTAAATATAATTACACTGTATTTTGGGAAGTTACAGATTAGCAGACTATTATCACTGGTACTGAAGGATCAATGGTATAATCCCTTACCTGTAGACGAGTTGTGCTCAGACCATACCTGATGCATTATAGAATAGTACATAACAGGTTTTTAGACAATCTAATGCTTGTAATCCCCCAACTTCTGAACTCCAAACTAGGAGAGAGAGATTCCCATTCCATGACCAGACAGGGTTAACTTGTACTGATGACAGATATAACTTAGTATTGATTATAATTTATTTCAAGATTAAAATTTTATACGATTGTGAGCTACTTCGGGTAGAAATTGCTACTGCCACAATACTCTCCTTCAGAAAAAGTGTATTGGATAGCTAATTTATTGCTTATCAAATACACTACAGTAATCACATATTGTTTATCACATACAGAATCATGTATTGGAAGTGTTTAGCATAAATCTGGTGAGGTTTATTTATAATCAGATACTACAAGTACAGTATATAGAGAAATGAATAGTTTGTATATACTGTAAATTATAAACCACAGCAATATAGTATTTTGAGTCATCAGTTCGATTTTTGCTTTATAGGGAATGGTCAGGGATTTGGCTCCTTAACAACGTATAAGATTGACTAATTTCCAGTGAGTGAGTAAACATTCTCTAGGTATGAGGATTAACTCAGCCCGGTGATTAATTTTTAAGCCTAGCACATTGAAAAAGATGTGACCAACTTGCAAAGATTTGAACTCAAACTTAGTCTTGTCAGAGTTGTAATGAAGGAACTCGTACTAAATAATGACGTGTATCTCTTAAAGGGAGGATTCAACAAGACACCTTCAGCAGTTTCTTTATTGGTATTTTCTATCCACGACTGACTGTTGTGTACAAATACATTTCTAAACATCATAACTGTCTGATCACTAAGTATAGTCATCCACCTGTTCTTCTCCTTCCAGCAATGAACTACAGTATTCACTTGACTCACCCTGCTGACCAGTCATTACGTTGTCCCAATATTGAGTTTGTTACTTTGCTATTTTTGTTCACATATCTTTGTACAGTATCTACAGGTATTGTATTTCTGCACTGCTTAGTTTTTCTCATTCTTCACCTTTGCCTTGACTCATCACCAAGTTGTTATACTTGCTGTTAGGGGTTTATACTAAGACATCTGCTAGGGGATGATACAGCTTATCTATTTTTTTTTAAACTTTTGACACTATATGAGCAGACTTTATAAAAAAAAAAAAAGCCAGATCTCTAAAGTCAAGAGAGCAGCTGAACCAAACTGGGGAGACATGTGCACCTCTGCTTGCTGCTACTATGAATGAGATACAGGTACCTTTCTCTAAGAGCTTTTCATTAATTCAACCTGCAAAACTTGGCTGTGTTACTCCTCAGTACCTCACATATCTCATAAAGTCCCTCTCAAGTTTACTCTCTATTGCTCTACTTTTCAAATACATATCCATTAAACATTTTTGTAGTTATTTTAGTGATTTATACAGAACTTAACTAATAACAGCAGTAAGTGATGAGTAGTGGTGAGGTGAAGAATATGGCAGTGATCCCCCTTAACTAACGATAAAAAGGTTTTGTAGTACAGTACATTATTAACATGAAAACATATTTTGAAGTATGTACAATTGGGTGCCTTGTAACTTGGGTTAAAGCTTATTGTTCATAACTCATGAACCCACATTCAAATTCAGAGTTGGTCAGGAGTGGCAGATTGTTGTTCTCTATGGGCTATACTGTACACAGCTGGTTAATTTATCGTGAATTAAGATCAAACCTGCTTTAAGAAAGGGAAATACTGTATGTTCCCATTTTTATTGTGGGGTTTGATCTATTAACTCCTGTGTATGGGCTCCCCTCTAAGCTGAATAAAATCGTTTGGTGTTAGCCAAATAAAATATTAAAAGTGACATCTCCGTAGTGAAGGGGTTAAGTTCATTTTCATGTTACTACAAATTCTTCCACATACCATGGTACACCCCTTCACCCATGAGGATGATTCTCCATAAAAATGTAGGAAAAGATACTGTACTGAAATTTTAACGTCTCTAATTTCTTCTGGGTTCACCTCAGATGACAACCACTGTACATTCAATCGAAAAAGTATCTTTATGATTTTGTTTGAGACAATATGACACAATGGACGGAGGGTTTTGACAACCATACCGAGACAACAGGAGTTTTAGTGTTCATTTAGAAATTCATCGGACCCCGCCGTGAAGATACTTTTTAGAGCGAGTGTACAGGGATGGATGTGTAACCTTCCATCCATAAGTTCAGTATAATCCATGAGAACAAGTTTACTGTGTGGGGCCAGCCAGGATGAATAGATTATAGCTGTATTCTGATGTGTAATTTTTATGCTTTTAACACGGACTAAACCAACCCATCGGGGAGGGTTCCACTTAACGACAAAGGGGCAAACAGCGTACGAAGACGAAAGCTATAGATGCTTACCAATTGAGTTGAGGGGTACCTTTTGTATTGAACATGACTCCCACCTTGGGGTAAATGAAGATATATATCAGGTTGTATAAAAAACAAAACTAGTCAATATTTCTTGACAACTTCTTCCTGTAAGTATTGATAACCAATATCAGTTAATGTTGAGCCGTAACAATCTGTCCATTGTGCTTATTTATAAACACATTACAGTGCTTCTGACTAAAGCTTAAATCATCACAATCATGTAAGGTCTAAGGTTTTCTACAAACTTAGTTGCAAGGAATTATGTGAGGCTCTTATTGGCTAGTCAACTGAGAGTGAAAGACTTTGTTATCAGTGTTAACCAATAGTGTTATGTTTATAGTGAATGAGTGGTGACAAATTTAACTGGTGGACAGTTTTGCTGCTGCCCTAAAAGTGTTCTTAATTATGACTTTTGTTTCTGCCAATGGTTCAACAGCTCGTTTATACAAGGTATCCATCAATGGGCTGTTTACCATTTCTTATCACAATTAGACAAAGTAACTTTACTTGGAATTTAAATGTGTAAAGGCAGTGATATATATTGTTTGTTTAAACAACAATTTATATTTAATAAACAATATCATAATATATTTAGCAAAATATAATACAGTACGTACATTACAGTACAGTACACGTATAGGTAAACAATATTTTAAAAGTTGGCTTGGAGTCAAAGCTTAGATATTATATTCATATCAGGTTATTAACATTTAAAATAAGAAATAATTTATATTACCTACAAATTATTGGCAGCAATACAGTTCAGCTGACTGAAAAATTTACCCTGTGGGGTCGAGCTTTACGATGCTTTACCATAATTTATTTAGAGCTGTGGCATAGAGATAATCCAACTTCTGTGTGGGGCATATTTTCTTGATATCAGCTTATTACTTTGAACTTTCTATGCAAAACCTTTATTTTTAATTATGATATGTAACGTATGTGCAGGTCCATCAAAATGAAATTGGCTGTGCTTGGAGGAAAGAAAAGGGACCATTCTCCTCAACCTTGTCTGTCACTTGGCCAAGATGGTCAATATTATAAAGGTACTGTACTATGGACAGGACAATTAAATCACTCTTATTAAAACAAATGACCTAAAGCTCCTAGACTAATTTTGGTTATGATAATTTGGTTAGTTTTACCAGAAAAAGTAAATGATTATATAGCCCCCTGTTCATGGTATGTCTGAAAGATTGACCATTTTGTGTCTCTTTGTGTTATAGTCCACCATAAATTTTGCTCCTTTCTCTTATTAACAAGTATTATTTACTCCTGACTTATTTCAGTACATGTCTTGACACCTTGTACAGTACAGCATTGATAAATGTTCAAGAGCGTCTGTAATTCTATACGAAGTCTTTATTTTACTTTATCCTCTTCACCACTGATAGACTTGGGCAATCATTCATGTCTCTGTTAAACACTGTTGGCAAGTACTGGACATGTACTGAACTGGCTCTCTTTAGTCTTTCCATGCTTGGATGTTGACCTTTTCCCACACTAACTACCGGTACTTTCTCCTTCATAACAGCAAATTATTACAGTGTATCATCAGCCTTGCTCATACCATCATACTGTTCAATATTCATCATAATTATCATCTGTTAATTTGTATCATCTTAACTCAAAATTATTTATAAGAGTTTTCATTATAACTCAGAACTGTTATTTTGAGTCTTATTACTAACTCCAATTTACCAGTTTCTTTTTTTTTAAGGTATGTAAAAAAAAAAAATCATTCCTTTACCCTGCTTCATCATTACATGTGTCCCTCCTTATCGGTAACTTGTGATGTGTCGTACTCTTTGATACGAGATGTTTTCCTGGTGCTGCATGTTCCTCTGCATCTTCATAGTTCCATATTTTCTCTTATAAATCTCACAGAATAGTCCTTGAACTGTCCAATTACCTGTATATTCTTTACATTTTCTGTTTTTCCACCACTGTATATTATTTCCTGAATGCCAGCACATAAAACAACTCATCAATACTCTATCAATCTTTTATAATAATTTTTGTCTCTATGCCGCTATTTAAACTTTTTCTATGTCATTTCCCTGAAGTCTTGTGTGTCTAACTTAACACTGAGTACCCCTCTATATACAGTATGGCCACGATAAAATCAACTCTTCCAACTTTCTGACTATGAGGCAGCTACAGGCATTATTCTGTATTTTCATTCTTTCATGCCATTTCCTACTATACAGTACAGTATATTGAAGGGTGACCAGAATGAAAAACTACCAAAGGTTCTCCATATATTTGGCTGTAATTAAACCATTCTTACTACTGTAGTTTTATGTGTTGTGCTATGGTATTCCCTACCACAACAAGACCCCAAATACCTATCTGGTTTATTCTTGTTGCTCCATACATTCTAACAGGGTAATCACCATCAGTTATCGGACTATGTACAGAAGGGATCTCTTTAATATTTTGGATATTATGCTAAAATATGTAGTGCTGTAGTTTTTTCGGTTTGGCCTGTAAAAAAATATATACTGTACCCTATAAAAGCTCCAACACAGAGAGTAATAACAAATGAAGTTTAGAAAACAAGAAGGAAAGTATTAGAAAATAACTTTGTGATGTAAGGTTGCTCAGGTGTGGAAATGTATAGTACAGTAGACCATGAAGCAAATGTCAGGTGAATACAGTACGTACAGTATATCCAAAGAGGAATCATCTTTTGGTTCAGATTCATGTATTTTATTCACACCTAAAGGAACAAATCTCCTCTTAATGTATCTGTACCTTATAAACCACTTAAATCTTGGTGGCAGATTTAAACCCTCTCCTCGTCTGTCTTATCCTTAGTAGTGCTTCCACGAGTGACACATCTAAGTAAAGAACAGCCTCTCCCAAGCTCTCTTTTATATTTGTCCTTTTAGGCTATTCATGGCACTGCAGGACTTTTGCTTTTTATAATTTTCTTCCTCTGCTCCTTTTTTCTGATTCAAGTTGTTCAATACATTACCTGAACAAAATGCCTTCTCTTATTTTCTTACTTTATTTCTGATGTCACACTCTCTGGAGGTGGCAATGATGGAAGAGCCTTGAGGACAGCTAATTATTACATATTTCTCTTGTCCTTTACATTTCCTACCTCTTTATATCTTGTTAGTACAGTACCTTCCTCCTTCCTCACCTTAACCCTAGAACCATCATGGCATATTACAGTAATTGATTCACTCCTCTCACTAATTGTATGTCTGCTGCTTCACCTGACCTACAATACTTCTCTGACTTTGTAATTCATGTAACCTTCTAACTCCTTATCTTACCTCCCTTACACTATTCACTCATACCCTTGCATGTATTTTGTTGCTACTGTCACTGCACATTACCAATATCTAATCTTGTCTTCAATCTTTTCATTGTTCCTTGTGTTTAGAAAAGGAACCTTCACTTGACTGTTTGCTTATGGTAACTCCCATCACTACTAACTAATTTACATTTCAGTGGAAAAATCTTCAAAATTATTATATACAAGATTTGTATTATCTCATATGAAAAAATAATTTTATTAATCCCATTTATTTTGTATCATAAAGTACCAGGTATATACAGTGAAAAAATACATACTGTATGCTATTGATATAATTGTGATACTGTAACAGTTTTAAGAGTATAACCAGATTTGTTTTTACGGAAATTGAGCACACAGTAATGGGTACGGTATTATGTCTTAAATCTTGTAATAATTCTTGGCCTGAGTACTGAATGCCTCTCTTGGTATGGTACAATTTACAATTCTGGGCTCATACTCAGGCACTTGGGATTGCACGTTCATTGTTATTCACACTTGTATGTGTTAAGCTGAGGAGTATACATATTTGAGCTCTGAACCACCTTCTTTATTTTTTATGGAAACTATCAGCCATACAAGTAGGATGGATGATCAGGAGTCAATTAGATAAGTGAGAGTTTCATACTGACTACCTATGTTCAGTGAGCCATATCCCTAACTGAGAGAAGCAGGGGGCCTCAGTGTCTCCTCTCATTACTGAAGTCTTTCATATAATAATTGTTTTTTATAGGTAATAAAATTAAACCTTAGAATATGACACTATGATTGATAATAGGTATATATCACACAATTAAAGTTTTAACACTTAAAAAAATATATATGTGTCACTGCTTGTATCAGAGCACATTGATCAATAAATGCATTAGGTATTTATGGGTGTGAAGAAAATGCTTTGTAGTGTGACAATTGTGCTGACGAACACACACACAGAGGAGAGAATATGCCCCTAACAGGATATACAGTACCAGTAGGTTTAAGGCACATCATACGAGTTACTTTGTGGACCCATAACAAAGCTTGACTATTTCAAATAATGTAAATATTAGAACTTATAAAGCACGAAAGCCTTTAACCGTTTCTTAATTTACAATAAAACAACTACAGCATTGACTTATCATTCGGATTACCGTAAATATTTTCAAAGTTGTGTTAAGAGTAAATACTATGTTGGGTAGTTAAACAAAATATTAATGAACAATGATTGATAATATATTGTACTATTTACTAAATCACTCTTACCATACAGTACTGACAACACTAGTAGATAATATTATGCATGGTTTTGACATTTTTAAAGATATTTGTCATGGGTCTGCTTAGAAACCACACCATAACTTGTAGAGAGATTTGTAAACATCCCAAGTGTACATAAGACCCCTCGCCAATTTTGTATGCAGTGATCATGTTGAAGAGAAACTAAATAAACACAAAAAATAAACACATGCTTATTTATCCTTGAGGGGGGGGGGGGATTATTCTGACTGTATTCTATGCAATAATTCACCAGAAGGGATTACTGAATATTAAATATCCTATCATATCCACCTTCATGGTAACCTAACCAGATCTACCCTGAGCTACCCTAGCCCCACAGTTTATTTTACCTAAATTAACCTTGTGCCTGGGGGGGTTAGTTAGGTTGGTAAATCAAGGTGAAATAATATGCATTGGCTAATTTTCAGGTGATCCATAAGTAGTAGCCCTCGCCCCTCCATCCAGATAGTTCAGACAGACTATATACAGGTACAGTAGGTATTATACATCTTTCCTGAATACAGAACCTTAGGGTAAGTCTCAGGGTGAAGACTGTACTATTATGAGATTAACAACTCGAATATTAATCTAAGGTAGCCAATGTGATGCAAAAAACCCATATTGTTGAAATTATGCTTGGAATGTTAGATTGACCAAAATGTAAAAAAAAATTATATCGGGTTGTAAGATATGAGAGCTAAAAATGTTAGTTTAGAGAGGTGTTGCAAGTAAGTTAATGACCACAATGTTTAAAACCAAAAATGTTACTTTAGCCAGGTGATGTAGGTAAGTCAGTGGCCCAAAAGATTTACCTGGGGAGATAAATTAACAGCTGTAATGTTAATTTAGACAAGTGCTGTGGGTATGTTAAGGACCGGGATTTTGAAATTGATGCCAGGTGTGTCAATGTCAACAAGATTTTTAATTTGGCTGGCAGTGTGCAGCAGAGGTGTGTGCGAGAATGTTAATGATTGGATTAAGTGTGGCGAAGCCCAGCACATTTACCCAACACACCATGTTTATATAAAACCAATTGCAATGATGATGATGAATGATGGCTGTAATGAGTTGATGATGATGACGATGATGATATGATGAAAACAAAGATGGTGATTATTAGAAATGTGATTGGTGGTGGTGATAATGTTAATGATTGTGATTGGGAGTGATAATGAAGATGCTATTACCCAGGGCCGGATTAAGCCTAATTGGGGCCTGAGGCACAGATCAACTTGGGGCCCCCTACCCTTCAGGTTATATACAGTGTATATATATAGCAAGAACAAAATATACCAAAATTTATCAATGATTTCATCATTATTAAGCTTCTGCAAAATAACACATTCATTGTTCATAAGAGACAGAAAATTGAGACGTTGCTAGGACATCGTTGAACGAAGTTCATGTTTTATATGCTTCAACTTCCAGGATGTTTGGATTTGGGGGCCCTTAGAGTTAGGGGGCCTGAGGCCAGTGCCTCAAGTGCCTCATTGTTAATCCGGCACTATTATTGCCTGTGTGTGTGTGTATGAGGGAAGAATAATAAAATACACATACGGGTGATTTAAATGAGTTGAGGGGTGGATGAGGATGTGGATGAGAGGATGGGAGTGCTGGGAGGAAGCCTTACAAATGGGTAAGGAAGAGGATGAGTTGGCAGGTGAGTCAGCATCCACTGACTCATTAGGTAGATGACTTAAGGTGTCACGTGTGTGTGTGTGACCACGACCCTCACAGAGCTTACTGAAGGTGCCATTACTATTGCTACATCACTTATAAATAAACACATGATCACTGGGGTGAGTGAATACACCACTCACCACCTGTCCTAAGGGCCGCTGGTTCGATGATCCAACGGCATTTCCAGTCCAACTAATTGTAAATGGGTATCTGACTTTACACATTGGGGAAGTGAAGGCAGCTGCATGCAATGTCAGCATATTGAGGCAAGTTAGGTTAATTTTTCATGATTTATATTATAAACCTGTAACCAAAAGTAAGCAGGATATCCAATCCCCATGTACAATGACACTGGGTCTGGCAGCGGCTGAATCTTTTATTTACATGACACAAACCGACATATCAAGAATATTGATGTGCTGGAACATTACGGGTTCACGGTGGTGTCTGGGAAGTAACTAACCCAGCTCTTTCGAAAAAAAAAAGTTCCACCTGGTGGGGGAGGGTGGGCCCCTCCCTGTATGCGCCCTTGATATAGCAGGAGAGTGTATACCGGTGTTTAATCTTGAGGATTTTCTCACAGGAAGGTGCAGCCATTTGCAACAGTATGCCCTGATTACAAAAAAGTAAAGGTTTATCACTTTATCACCACGAAGCAACATAATCCCCAGAGTGACACGACATATTAATTAACGATTACTAGAATTTGGCAACCCTCTCCCCGAAGTCATATAAGAGAGTTGACCAGATGGTAGGTCAGTCTTTACAGCGGCATCCGAGGGGACACATCTCCGGGGCACGACAGCTTCACCAGGTGTGTTCAGAGTGTGTCATACATATTCTCAAATTGGAATAATTCTTTTTGGGGTTCCTGAAGTTGCGTTACTGGTAAGAATTTCTTTATTAATGTTTAACTTATTTAGAATGAGGTCGAGAGACAGTATAAACCTTAGTCTATAAGGGTAACACAGAGGTAGGGGGTACTCTGGTTATAAGTTACTCTCATACAACACAAGTACACCCTTCCCCTGACTACATGGTCTTCGATCTCATTCCCGTGAGTCTCAGGACGGTGATAAAGTGCTTGAAAATTTTAGTGTCCTTCTAATATAAATATGTATAATAAATTGAAACAAGGGTCATTCATTGACACACCCACCCCAGGTATCTGAAAAAACATATATTCATTTCGTCATTTTGCGTTTCCACTCAAAGTAACATTAACACTTCATTTTGTTTACATTCTTTATTAACTACTTGCAAATAACAACCTTTCATTCTTATACGCGAACACCAGCTAACTTTCCTTCTGCATCACCCACCAGAGCTGTTGTCGTACCTCCTTATTTGAACTCCTTATCCCTTTCATACAAACACACATCCCTCTCAACCTCTCTCGCTACAACAGTTAAGAAAATCCTAAATAAGAACGTTTCACCTCCTTGACCTCAAACACACTATAGTAGTCACCCACGTTAGTCCTGTCGCCTCTTCTACTGTTTCACGAACCCCGAGATTTAGACTCGTGAACCCGAAGCTGTAGACACTAGTGTATTATTCTGTCTATAAATGCTTCGGGTTCACGAGTCTGAATCTCGGGGTTCATGGTTCAGCAGGAGAGAGGACAGGACTATATTTTTCTATATATATGTCTATGTAATTAGTTATCTATCTATCTATCTATCTATCTCAAGCCCAAAATACGCAAATACCTTCCCAGAATCAAGTCATCAAACTTCCATCAAAACACCATTAAACATTTACTATTAAGAAACCACAAAGTCAATCTGTTTACTTCACTCCCGTCACCATGAGAAACTGTGAACCAAGGCCCGTCATCCCGCGAATCATCAGCCGAAGGAGGTAGAATATTCTCTTTAATCCATCAATTAATATCTGTGTCACGATCTTGGTTAATTTAATGTTTTTTCTTTTGAGAGGGAAGTGATGTTGCGGTATTGGTGTAAGTCTGAGTAATAATTGGTGGTGAGGGGATTAGTGTGTGATGGTGGTGTGGGGATTAGTGGTGATTAGTGTGTGGTGGTGGTGAGGGATTAGTGTGTGGTGATTGTTGTGGTGGTGAGGGATTAGTGATTGTGGTGGTGAGTTAGTGTGTGGTGGTAGGGGATTAGTGTGTGATTGTGGTGGTGAGGGGATTAGTGTGTGGTGGTGGTGGTGAGGGGATTAGTGTGTGGTGGTGGTGGTGAGGGGATTAGTGTGTGATTGTGGTGGTGAGGGGATTAGTGTGTGGTGGTGGTGGTGTGGGGATTAGTGTGTGGTGGTGGTGAGGGGATTAGTGTGTGATGGTGGTAGTGGTGGTGGTGGTAGTATTAATGGTTGTAGTAGTGGTAGTGGTAATGATAGTAATAGTAGTGGTATTAAACATAATCTAATAGTAGACTTAACAATATCAGAAACAGATCATTGAGTCGATAATTTGCCCATGTTATATTTTGTTTTTCTTCATTTTTTTTTCTCAAAGCATTATAGACTTTAAAACCGGACACACACACACACACACACACACACACACACACACACACACACACACACACCTCCATGTCTGTCTTAAACCCTGTGTGTATGTGTTCCCTCAGGCACCTCACACCGTCGTCTTAATGGCCCCAAATTCTGCCAGCTTCGGGTTCGGAGGCACCCCGGCCTTCTTCGCTAGGATGATGGCCATCCCCGCCATCAACGACGCCCTCACCCTAGCCACACAGGTCTACGACAACACCAAGGTCAGTCACCCTTAGGAAGACCAGTCAACATAACAAAATCAGTCACCCTAGCATAGTTACCACAGTAAAATAAGGCACTTCAATTAGCTCCATAACCCCAGCAAGTTAAGACAACTGTTGTGTGGACCCGGGACAAGGTTAAGGCACTAAATGGTGTCTTTTCCGCCGTGTTTACAAGAGGCTATGTAAACAATATATTTCCGGGGTAAACAACTTCACCTCAGCACTTAGCAGACAGGTTGAGGGTTTAGTGTTTATAGAACCAGTGTGTTAAATAAACGACGTGTTATGTGCGTCTTTGTGACCTGAAACTAACATTATGCTAACTTTGAACCTCCGAAGTTAAGTAGTGTTGAAGGGTCAGTATTCTGCTTAAGGAGATATTACGTATGACTAGAAAATAGCAATATGTAAGTCCAGTACATGACAAAGGGCGATAGCCATAACCCCATTGATCTTAGGCTTTGTGAACTTAACCAATGAATGATGATATGGAAGGCTGGACCAACACTAGCGCATGTTTAGGTGTAATTTATTGAGGCTGACGGTTCTCTTCGATCAGAGGAATGAGGTGATGGGGGCGGCGATAAAGGCAGCCGAAACTAGCATGAGGGTGGCAGCCACGAGCGCCCTCCCTCTCGCAGCACCCATACTAGACCGTGTGGGCGGGTGGGAGGCGGTGGACGAGTGGGCGTGCCGTGGGCTGGACCGAGTGGAGGAGGCGGCACCCATCATCAAGAAGCCGACCAAAGAGGTGAGTCTGAGGAAGGGATGACACGTCAAATTAGTAATATTATCCCTCAAATATGTTCCGTTTTCTCTGATAGTTCTACATAAAAATATTAAGCTCAGGGGGGGGGTACATTAATATACTAAAATTTAACCTTTTATAAAAAATTCCAGGTACAATATCATTACCCCTTGAAAATGACTTAGTTCTCTTTGATATTTCTGCATGTGATACAATCATTTGAAGTATTAGTAGAATTTCCCATACCAGATTACCCCGTTTTCTGTAACGTGTTTAACCAGTGACTCAGATAGACTCAAAATTATTGTATATGTAATACAGTTTTTATCATAACCACCAAACATCCTTGTTGTACTGTACACTGGTCTAGTTAAATCCTCAGGTTATGTTAGCCATGTAATCCCTGTACAACTGTATCCTTGTAACACTACATACTTGTATCAATGCATCGCTGTAGTATACACTGTAATCCTATACCACCGTTATCACTATTTCACTGTACCCGTCTTGGTGTGATCACTGTATCTGTAAAGTACACCTATACTTACTAATTAATTATTATTTCGACCAGATTGTCAACAGAACACGAGAGACGGTGCTTGGTGCCGTGGCTGGGGACAAATTGATCGTACCGGACACCATCACTGAAGCTCTCGTCATCCGTGCCAACCGTATGGTAAGTGTGGAAGATGGTCGGCGTGGAAGATGGTCGTAGATCCGTAGATTAGCGTGGAAGATAAACGTGGAAGAATAGCTTAGAAGGGTGGCTGATGATGATAAAGGTTTTGCATGAATCTTCTTTGATTTGATTATTTACCAAGTGTGGAGTACTTTGTTTATGTGTACATTAAGTTGTTTACATCTTGTTTACGCCTTGTTTACCTGGGTGTAATTATCTCTATTTTATACAGATGGAGGTAGTAACAGAAAACGTGGGCGTGAAGGCGGCGACAAACGTAGCTGAGAATGCCTTGGACACCGCCCACGTCCTTGTCAACACCTACCTCCCGCCTGGCGGAGGAGACAAGGCCCACCCTGGTCAGTAGATGGGTAGACTGATGCGCTAGTAGATTAATGGGTCAGTAGAATGTAGACATATGAATAGACTGTAGTAGATTAATAGATCAGTAGATTACTAGACAGGTAGATTGCAAAACGGGTAGATAGAGTAGTTGTATAGAGAAATAGCACCATCCACTAACTATCCATTCACCATCCACAGACGTATCTGGAGCTGGCGTGCGAGAGAGGACTCTTATCCTGGCCAGGAAGACCGGACACCGCCTCTACCGCACTGCCCTCAGAATGATGCGACCCGACCTAGCTTACAGGAACGACGCTGTCATCACTCCAGGCATGATGGTGAGAGAAAGAGAGAGAGAGAGAGAGAGAGAGAGAGAGAGGTGGGGAGCTAAAAGGGTAATGAGCCAAGGCAGGTAAGAGAGAGTGTTGGGAGGAAAATGTACACACACACGGCCTCTGATAAAAAAGCACAGGATACACAAGGTAGTAAATATACTCTGCAGGACGATGGTTGAAGTTACAAGGGCAAGGAGGTTTATTTAATTTTTGAAGGAACTCCCTGGAGGGACCCTTAGATAAATAGATAGATAGTTAGATAGATAGATAGATAGATAGAAAGATAGATAGATAGAAAGATAGATAGATAGAAAGATAGATAGACCTTCAGTGTTGCAGACTTCAGCTTGACGTGTTTCCCTGTAGATGGAGTTCGCTCGAGGGACTGTGATGAACCTCTACACTGAACTTCTCCGTGTACCTCGCCCGGGGGAACAGGTGGGGGTGTTGATGACCTTTGCCCGGACTCCTGTCAGATTTGTCGTCATCAGTACCTCCACCTTCAACACCTCCGTCCTCACCACTCTAATTCCCATCCTCCAAGAGACTACCAAAACATTACAGGAAGTCCTCAAGGAACCCTCATCACGTCTGGGGCCGATGATCCAGGAATCCTACCAAATCATCAGGGTCGCTGCTGAAAACACAACCGCTCGCTTCACACCCTTTTTCATCGACACTGTTAGGCGGGCCCTCGATGCCACGTCAATGAGGGAGGTGAGGGAGGTGGTGATTGACTACGGGAAGTATGTTGGTGAAGAGGCCAGGCTGTGGGGGAAGGTGCTGGTGGTGTTGATTCAGCTCACCCCTAACTTTGCGCTGAGGGTGTCCGAGACTACCAGGGTACGTGGTGCCTCTCTCTCTCTCTCTCTCTCTCTCTCTCTTATAGTCTATCTTTCACCTTTACTCTTTCTCTCTCACCTGTATTGTCTCTCTTACCTTTTCCGTCTGCATCTCACTTTTACTTTCTCTATGACCGTTTTCTCTCTGTCTCCCATCTTTACTATGTCTCTCTCAAGTATACGAATTTAACACATTAAGCACAACGTATTAACCCTTTAGTTACAATATACTGATCCCTTGAGTATGATGACTAAACCTCATGAGTATAAGGACTTAATTCTTTGAGTACTATGATAACATACTCAGGAGATTTAAAATCGTCAAACTCAATGGGTTAAATTCACTGCTTGTCAGGTATTATGTCACCAACTCCTCCCCTTCCAGCAAATTCTAGCTACTGAGTGGCTGACTAGGACTATGATGTCACTTATACCCCCACCCTTTCCAAAGATGCTGGCTGCTGGTTGGTTAAAGAGGGCGATGACATCATTAATATCTCATCCCTTTCACTTGCTGGCTGCTGGTTAGTTGATGAACATAATAACGTCACTAATACATCATCCTTTTCTCAGATATTGACTGCTGATGTGCTGAGGAGAGCGATGACGTCACTGGAGTCGAGGGGAAGGCCAGCGCCTCTTCTGCTCAAGAAAGGCTTTGTGCCTGTAAAGGTGACGATGATGGCACCTAGAGACACGTTCTAACACCTGAGAGAGAGAGAGAGAGAGAGAGAGAGAGAGAGAGAGAGAGAGAGAGAGAGGGGAAACAAGACGTGTAAAGAGATAAAAATAGCTTTAGAGTAGAGTAAATCACATTCATTATTATTGTTGTTTTAGATAAACTTGATTGTATCTGCAATAAATAACTGTTAATGCATTTAACTTCAATAAATTAGTAATTTATATCAGAAATATATATACATCAGTAATACACATCACTATTATATCGAATATCATGTATACGACAATTAGATAAATAAATATATACACAACAGTTACATTATACATTTTATTCTACCTAAAAGAATATCCTGTATTATAAAAAACCAATGTATTGTAAAAAGAGCAGACTGTATTATAAACAGTGTGTGAAAAATATGCCTAAAGTAATTAATATTTTCTAACAGGTCATCCTCATTCACATTTCACATATTATTATGTTTTATTAATGACCTATGACCCTTGACCTCCAGTAATGGGGTCATCAAAATATTACTATGACTGGCAGGACCCCCCAAAATTAAAAAAAAATCACATACATACATCCATACAAAAGGAAATATACTTGAGTGACCAGAAGCTTATATAAATGCCTCTTTAACATGACAATACGCATACAAAGGCTTCGTAATTCTATTGTTGTGTGTGAAATGATTTGTCCCGAACAAGACACATCCTGCTCCCACACTATGAATCACAAGATGATTGAATACTGAGTAGTTATGTAAGTGAGACGAACATAGCCTGTGTCGTCAAAGAAGGGGAGGGGGGGGGGGCATCTCTCTGTAAAAATATAAAATACTGTTTGTTAGGTATTTTATTTACCCTTGAATAGGTTTATGTAACTATGAAAAACGTAGGGAATATTGTGTTTACATACGGGAGTTTGTACGTCGCTTATATAACAAAATTGGATATAACGAAAGATTTGTTGGAATGACAACCAAAGAACACAGATCAGTAATAAGACTTATTCTTGATAATATCTCATAGCTGTTTACTTCATATATTAAAATAAACGGAATAATAGTAAATTAATCAAGAAACTAAATAATTAACACAAAGTACACAACAGCAAAAGCCGTTTATTTAAATTCATGTGGACCTAACAATTAATATTTATCTATGTTTTGCTCGGCTATAAAACAATTAATTATTATCGAGACATCAAGTTAGAAGGGAAAATGACAAAGGTGATGAGAATTTTAAATGAGTGGACGATGGCGCCATTCAGTGAGACTAATTTAATGTCTGCAAAACGACTTTCACAATTCAAAAGTTGTAAATATTTGAGGTAAAGGTTAGAGCAAAAGGATCACGCCAGAAGGAGTTGATCATTTCGTTCATGGATTATAATAAAGACGACACGACAATGCACAGAACCTAATAGAACCTGACCCAACCAAAGAAACCGGGCTAACTGTACCTAACTTCCTAGTCCCCGGCATATTAAACAGAAAGAACTTACTTTGAGATCTGGTACCAATGAAATCAACTTTCTTGGAGTGGGATGGTGTAAAAAATGTACGTTATTTATGGACGTGAGAGTACACTTGAACTGAACGAGTCGTTTCTAAACAAACAGCAGTTAACCTACACCTACACGACTAGGATTTTGGCTGAATATTTACGGTAAATAATTAATTTCTTCGCAAACAAAGCACTTAGATAAATTTTAGTGCTATTTGATCAGTTTATCACTGTTTTTTACCCAACGACCCCCCCCCCTCCACCCCCTTACACCCTGCCCACCACAGGTCATATATGATCTTAGAGTAAACCTAAAAAAGCAAAATACTGCATTATAATTATTATCATCATCATCATCACTATTATTATTATTATTATTATTAATTATTATTATTATGAACCATCTCACAGTCCCTCTAGCGGCCACAGTACACGGCGACGCTGTGGACTGTGGTCAGGAGCCTCGGGACTCGGCAAACGACTGTTAACCTGCGGCTGTCGACGAATCATTGCGCACAGTTCTTGACTTTCCTCACAATGGCTCACCCTATGTGTTCTTCTACAACTATTATGGATGTTAGTGATTGTGGTTACGACAATGTTAACAGTGCCACTAGTAAACGACCAATATTTGTGGATATTGGTGGTGTGGTGAAAAATTGGATAAACTGCTGCCGGGACTTCGACCTCAAGTGTCTATTGGGTAGTTGAGACGCCGAGAGCTCTTTTGGTAAGTACACATTATGTTATATTATTATTTATTTCTAACAAATGTAATACAAGAGTGAATGTAGGTCCCGTTGTAGTCTTTATGGCATTTATTAAATCACTATTTTATAAGTATCAATAATATACTATCGGTAATTTGACTTAACCACAGCGTAGGTACAGAGTAAAGACTTAAAATGCGTATTTAATTTTATTTATTTATTCATCGTGTTTGTTTTATATAATTGCGGTCACAACAGGTCAGGGGTTAAGTATTTAGTGACTCTGGAAGATGGAAATCAGTCGGATGTTAAATAAGTTCATAAACGGGGTTTTTGTGCGAGAGAGAGTGAAAAAGAGAGAAGATAATAAAGATAAAGGCAAACAAAAAATAAACAAAACACCCTAAAGAGCGGGAAGAAGAAAGGAAAATAAAAAAAAAGCGACGTAGGCTGGCCTTGAGAGACAGGAAACATCCACCCTCGACCATTACCAGGAGACAACCGAGGTAAACACAGGCGAGTGGTGCCACCTGTCGGTTAGTTCCTGAAGTAGCGAGGCGCGTCACTCTCAGTGTGTACTTAGTAGCCGTCGAGAGAGGATGTCAGTTCCACCTCTCCCTCCCCCCCCCCATAAGAATGTTTATATTTACAACATTCTTTTGTTTTCTTGGGTATTTTGGTGTCGGGATACTTAAGAGGGTTTAGAGGTTAGGAATTTTAAAAGAATTTAGTTTATAGACACATTTATCAGGTCAAAATAAGGTCATGACATCGTGTGACCTTGACCTATCGTGTTGGGTTATCTACAGGAAGGTTTTAATACATTTTTGACGCCATATTGTCTCTTCCTGTGTACTGTATCGTCTCTCTCCCTCACTCTTTATCTCTCTCTCTCTGCTTCACCTATCTCTCTTTTCTTTCTCTGCTTGTATCTTTTTTCTCTTACCATTCCTTCCCAATCCTCTTCCGTCCTCTCTCCTCTCCCGGCTCTCTCTCCCCTTCCTCTCCTTTTCTCTCTCCCTCTCTCTCTCTCCTCACGCCCCGTCTCCTTCCCCTAAGCCTTCTTCCCTCATCTCTCCCCTCACCCTAGTATGTGACCATCTGTAGCAGGTGGTGACAGCTGGGAGAGCATCCTTAGTGAGGCGGAAGCTCTCTCTCACTATATTAAAAACTACACGAATATTACCGTAACTAATATGAGACAGAGAGAGAGAGAGAGAGAGATGAGTAAGAGGAGGATAACTTGAGATAAGAAAATAAATAATCTCTCTCTTTGTCCGCCTCTGTCTTTGCCCTGTCTTTCTGTTCTGTACATATTTATCAACACAACACACCACACCACACCACACCCCACACCACACACCCCACACCACACACCCTACACACCACACACCACCCCACACACCCCACCACACACCACACCACACAGATGTTATTAAAACCCAAAACCCAAGTCACCCTCACGACTGCCAGGGCCAGACACACCACTTCATCATCTTATTGTTACATTAATTGAGGGTTTTAAGCAGAGAATATCAACACCTAATTTATGCTGAAAATCTCTTAATTTCTACTCCCCTATCACTCCCTTCCCTCTTCCCCTACCCCCACACGTTACACCTACTGTGCCACTGTTAGTTTGGAGTGTCTGGTTGGTGCTTGTGCCAGACATTTTAAAGAGTTATGTTTGTAAGTCTAGTTTGAATGTGTCATATTAGAAGTGTTGTTTAGGTGGGTGGTGGTGGTGGGGTGGTGGTGGTGGTGGTTGGTGGTGGTGGTTGGTGGTGGTGGCTGGTGGGATGCTTGAGGAGAGAGAGAGAGAGAGAGAGAGATTCTTACTCCACACAAACACACTATTGATAATTCACCAATTAGACCTTGAGAGGCTATTGTATTCATAATATATCTCAGTTCAAGATCCACTCTATTCATCCAGTATGTAACCCGGGTCCTGGGCTGCTCTCCACACTAAAATACATGGATCCTTCAGTCAGGTCAATGAAGGCGGTCAATAAGTGAGAGAGAGAGAGAGAGAGAGAGAGAGAGAGAGAGAGAGTTCCTGCTCGCTATTAGAGGTCTCGTGATTATTAATTAAGGTCATTAAGTAATTATCATCTACTGGAGGAGACCGACAAAGTTTAATCAGGAACCAATCAGTGAATCTCAACTTCCTTGATTAACTCTGATTAGTAAGTAAGCTGAAGATGGGTCTGTCAGGGGCCCTTGGTGGTGGACGTGAAGCGGAAAGTTGACGACACACACACGTGCACGTTCACACAAGGACGCTTAACTGTACCTGATGTGTATGTGCATATAAGCGAGTACACATACACACACAAGCAGGCGCAAAAAATACATGCACACACACACACACACACACTCACACAGAGACACACACACATTTATACATGGTGACAGCAGCGCCGCAGAGCATCAGCGGAGAACATCGACACTAAAACAGAAAACTAACTTAGAGGGGGAGAGAGAGAGAGAGAGAGAGAGAGAGAGAGAAAAGAGAGAGTATCTTTGTTGTTTGTGGACGATAAAAAAAGCGTTACAGGGGCCAGCTGGTTCAAGAGGTGTGCTGATAATGGGTGATTATGGCTAAATGGGGCCCTCAGTACTAACGGGTCCCAGACCTAATGGATTTAAGATCGAATGCGTCTTAGCCTTAATGGGTGCCAGTACTATTAAGTGCCAGTGTTAATGGGTGCCAGTGTTACTGGGTGCCAGTGTTAATGGGTGCCAGTGTTAATGGGTGCCAGTGTTAATGGGTGCCAGTGTTCATGGGTGCCAGTCTCTCACTTTTCCTCCCCCTCCTCTTTCTTCCTCCCCCTTTCTCCCCCTCTTTCTTCCTCCCCATCCTCTTTCTTTCCTCCCCCTTTCTTTTTCTTCCTCCTCCCCCTCCTTTCTTCTCCTCCTCCTCCCTTTCTTCCCTTTCTCTCCCTCTTTCTTCCTCCCCCCTCTTTCCTCCTCCTCTTTCTTCCTCCTCCTTTTATCTCTTGCTTCTGCTTCACATCCTCCTCAACCACCTTCTTGTTCCTGTTCATCTTTTCTTTCCTCTTCTTCTTTGATCTTCTTTCTTCCTTCTTCTTCCTGA